TCGCCTCCGGTGCCCACATGAAGAGAGCACCACTCCTAGGCTGTGAATTGTGGATTCACAAGACCCTACCGGTAGCTCAGGACTTGGATGGTAACCCTATCGTGTTAGGCAAAGCCGTTCTTACCACCCAGCATGCCGATCCAAGACGGCTCTTTGTTGAAGCCCGTTTAGGCCATACAGTCTATGCTTTTGTGGTCCTTCATGCACCCAGCCTGGCCCATGGGAGCCAAGGGTCGCAAGATCCTACTGCACTACCTAAGCAATGGTGGCTTGAAACCACAGCATTGTATGACAAGCACGTCACGGCCACTGCACAATGGGTCTTCATTGATGCCAATGCCCCGCTTGACGCAGGTGATGGTACCCTCATTGGGTCACATGGTGCTGAACCGGCCAATCAAGCCAGTGAACTGTTTGAGGAGTTCATCCACATGCATCAGCTCACCGTACCATGCACCTTTCCCCAAGTCCATGAAGGACCCACTACCACATGGACCCACACCACAGGCAAGAAAAGCAGAAAAGACTACGTCCTGTTGTCCAAAGAAGTAGCCCCCCTGGCAAACCAGAGCTGGATTGACATCCACCACGATACCACCTTTGCTCATGAAGACCACCTACCTGCTGTCCTGCGATGCTCAGGTTGGCTGCCCACCTCCAATGCAAGCCCCCCAATTGCGTGGGATGAGCCTGCAATGCTGGACCCACAGAAGGTTGCTGCTTTTCAAGCTGCCTTGCATACCCTGCCACTGCCGCAATGGCAGGTTAATGTGGACGACCACGCAGCCTTATATGAGCAACAAGTCCTTGCCCTTGGACGGCAGTTTTTTGCCAAGAAGCCCAGCAAGACACGCCCCATCTCCCTGCATCCTCACACGCTCAGTGCCATTGCCTTCAAGAGACACGTCCTTGACTTTGGCCGGCAAGCCGCATGCCTTCACCACGCTGACTTCAAAGCAGAGCTTCGAGCCATCGAAAAGGAAGTGGCTCGAATGGTCACCACTGACATACGAGCCTTTTATGATGACCTGTTGCAACAAATCCAGACGTCTGGAGAGCTTGCGAATCATCGGTTAGTCTTCCGCATTTTGCATAGACTTGGACGTAAAAAGGGAGCCAGTGCAACTGGACCAAAGCCATTGCCCATGATCCAAAAGCCAGATGGCACTACAGCCAGCTCTTACCTTGACCAGCAGCAAACGTGGATGCAACAGTTTGCAGGTATAGAGGCTGGCATCCCCCGCTCATGGGAACAGCTTGAGGACCAACATGCCACCCAGTCACCGGACATGCCATGTCACGACATTGAGCCAGAAGCGTTCCCTGGACAATGGCAGATCCGAATGCTCATAGCCAAGCTCAAAAGGGATAAAGTCCCCGGCCCTAACCTCATTCCACCAGCATTGCTAAAGGCAGGCGGGCATGTTGCAGCCAAGCAACTGTCAGTGCTTTACGCCAAGGCCGCTGCCAACTCCCGTGAGCCATTGCCTTGGAAAGGGGGGGTCCTAGTCCCACTGTGGAAAGGGAAGCTGGCACCAAGCATTGCAAGTGGATATCGAAGCATCTTTATCTCGAATTACACGACCAAGCTTTATCACCAGTGCTTTCGAGCCCACCTCGTCCGGGCGTGGGAGCAAAGCTTGACGCATTTACAATGTGGTGGCAGAAAAGGCATCGGGGCCGACCTGGCCCACCATATTGTCCAATCTCACCAATCATGGTGCAAGCACAAAGCGGTGCCCTCTGCTGCAGTTTTCTTTGACCTGAAATCAGCCTTTTACATGGTCTTGAGACAGGCTTTCACATGCATTCAGTCCCATGATGATGCATTCATGGCTGCAATGTACCACTTTGGCCTTACCCCAGCTGATGTCGACCGACTCTTGAGTGCAGCCAAAGCCGACGAAGCCGCCCAACAAATGCCAAAGCATATGCAACACATCCTCCAGGACCTGTTGCACAACACGTACTTCACAATCCAAGGTCTTCAAAACCCTTGCCAAACCACCAGAGGCACGCGCCCAGGCGACCCAGTGGCTGATGTCTTATTCAATCTATGCATGCACCTCATCCTGACGGATTTTCGCACGCATATGGCAAGACACATTGATGTTCCCTGGCAAGGCACTGCTGCCCCGGTAGTGGACCTTGAAACCTGTCCTGCCATGCCCCCTCAGGGATATGTGGATGTCACATTTGTTGATGACTGCGTGGTTCTTATCCATGGGCGCTGCAATGATCGTGTAGCCCAAACCATGAAGGCTGTCGTAGAAGCGCTGGACCAAGCAGCGGAAAAAAGAGGACTCAGCATCAACTATGATCGTGGCAAGACCGAGGCGTTGTGGACGGTCATCGGCAAAGGAGCCAGACAGCTCAAACAAGCCCTCTATGCTGATGGCCACTCCCTCCAATGGGAGTCCAACAACAAGAAGTACACCCTGCAGCTCTGTCATGCCTACAAACACCTGGGCACATGGCTGCAGTCGCACCACAAGCACAGCAAAGAGATCCTGGCCAGGGGATCTGCAGCAAAACAGCAATATGGCCAACTGGCAAGATCATTTTTCACCAAAAAATGTATCTCCCTGCCAGTCAAAAGTACGATCTTTCAGTCTTTAGTCATTTCAAAGCTGCTGTATAACGTCCACACGTGGTCGACGGTCACACAAAAACAGATGCAAACACTCATCAACCACCTGAAAGCCCCAGCTGGAACCCTATTGAAGGGACTGTTAATGGCACCGACACGTTTCATGCATACCACGGAGGAAATGCTTGCCTGCGCAGGCATTTTGCCACCAATGGACCAGGTTCATGCCAACAGACTACGGTTCCTCGCCAGGCTTCTGGGAGCATGTCCACCCATCACATGGGCACTGCTGACCAATCATGCTGGCCCGCACTCTTGGACAGCCTTGTGTATGGAGTCCTGTCAATGGATGCTACTGCATTACGACAGCAAGCTGCCCCTAGACAGCTCCTCCACCTTCCTTGATTGGGTCAGATTCATCCGCCTCGACCCCAACTGGAAGGGCCGGCTGCGCAAGACCAGCAAGCTAGCCTTGTCCTATCACCGAGCTCGAGCCGAGCATGCAGTGTGGCAAAGACACTTTGATGCAAAGCTGGCAGCTGCCGGTGCCACAATACCGGACAAAGCCAAGCACCAAGTGCCAGCCGAGAAATGGCAGTGCGATCTTTGCCACAAAATCTTTGCATCCACGCGTGCCTTGGCGATGCATGCCACACGAGAGCATGGATACAAGAAGAAAGTGCGCTACTACACGGTGGGCAGCATGTGCCACGCCTGTGGCCAAGACTTCCACACCAGAAAACGGCTTTCAGTGCACTACGAAAAGCAGCAAAAGTGCTATGATGTGATCCAATCTTGTTGGCCCCCCTTTCCTGCTGAAATGGTCCAAAGCTTGGACGCTGCAGACAAAGAGCATGAAGCACTCCTACGCAAGCAAGGCTGGTGGGCCTCGAAAGCGTTCCAACCGGTCCTACAAACCTGCGGACCACCATTACCACCAGCAGGCTCAGAAGAGGCACGAGCAATGCACACCAAGATGGTCCAACGACGCCCCAGTGATGACACGGCCTACAACCAGCTGCAGGGTACCCGGGTGGAGCGTTACCCTCAGACATCACCCACCCTGTGGTGGCATCGCCAGGACCTCCCGGCCTTCATCATGCAGTCCCCACAAGGGCGTGACAATGCAGGAGGGGCGTTCTCCATGCACGGACTGGCACGTGAAACAGCACTGCTGCACGTCAGAGCGCTTGTCATTGTGCATTTCTTCAGCGGTTTCCGGAGGATGGGTGACATCCATCACATCATTGACCACTGCACAATGCAAACAGGAGCCCATGTGTTCACTCTCTCGGTAGATCTCTGTATGCAAAGGATCAAGGGAGATCTTGCAACTCCTCAAGCTGCGCGGTGGTGGAAAGAGCGCATTTTGAGTGGGCAGGTGGTCGCTGCAGGTGGCGGCCCACCATGTGAAACGTTCACTGTCGCCAGACAATACGACGGTGGCCCCAGACCACTCCGCAGTGCAGCGCACCCCTTGGGCATCCCCGGGCTGTCCATTAGAGAGTGGAACCAGCTCCGCATCAGCGACCGGCTCCTGAGGTTCCTACTCGATGTGTTGGTCGCACTCGCCTTGATGGGCATGAGCGGTTTTCTCGAGCATCCTCAATTCCCAACCTGGTGCACTCGAGGATCCCCTGCCAGCATTTGGGCAACCGACGCCCTGATCCAGCTAAAGAACCTGGGCTGCTTCTCAGTCGTAAGCTTCGATCAGTGCACGGTAGGTGCGTTGGGGAAAAAACCCACAACCCTCCTGCTCCTCCGGCTGCCAAGTGTGAGGGACACTCTGCTCCGGAGAGGCTGCTCGGGGCGCTGCAATCACCCACCGGGCGCGCATGTGGCCTTGATAGGCAGAGAGCTTGACGGCACCTTTCATACCGCAAAAGCCAAGGTATATCCATATGGCCTCAACAAGATACTCGGGGAAGCACTGTTCCAGGCGGCAACACAATGGGAGGACCTGGACGTTGTGCACAGCCTGCCGGAGGACTTCACCCCGTATCTTGAACAGAGCTGCCACGACGCTGCCGTAGTACAGCCAGATTACCACGGCGGAAGCTGACAAAAGGTCAGCTGCAACATGCACGAAGACCAAGCACCAAGACGGTGCAGCAGAGCAAATGGAAAAATGGGGTGGCTCAACCACCAACCAGTGCAGATTGCTCACCTCCAGAATCAGAGCAGCTACTACGGCACTTTCCCTGTGGATCCACATGACTTCTTAGATGGTACCAATGACACGTCAAATGCCCCCCTAAATGACACCCAAAACACTGCCTTAGAAGGTACTTGCATCCAAATAGATCCAAATAGGGCTTCATCATTACCCATTTCTGATCAGCAATCACTACTTAAGCAATTAATCCTGAATCATCAATCATTAATCCTGAACAAGCTGTTTCATCATTTCATGGTTTCCTGGCAGGACATTTTTCAGAACTGGGACCGTGATGGCAGTGGAGATATCTCAGTGGCGGAGCTGACCCGTGTGTTGAAACGGCTGTGCCTGGGACATTGAAATCTCCGGGAGATGGGTTGACCAGTGTCATCCGTGGCTGGCTTCGAACTATCCATGGAGGTTGACCCAGCTGGTGGACCCAGCCATGTTTGATTCGCAGATGGTCCCGTACAGAAAACATCAGAAAACTGGAGATCCCAAGAAAATGGAGATGGCGGAGCAATTCATATGGAAACCAGCTTTGGTTCCCGGAAATGATGTCAATCATCATCCATTTGAGGATACTTTTTGGAGATGTCCTCCTGCATATACATATTCTATGATATTCTATGAATACATATTCTATCAATGTGCTTTCCGCCGCTATACGCATAATACACACAAACCCTCCTGTAAACCAACATAGATGTGGAAAAATCCACCATTTGTAGATCATTTGGGGAAACGAGAGGTGTTCCGCATCTATCTTAGTTTCCCAGGGTAACATCCACCGCCAAGGAACCCGCAGTTTGACCAGGCAGCCTGCGAGAAGATGTGACCTGGACAAACAGCCGCGCCTGGGGTAGTGACAGTTACTCAGTTACTGTACTGGGGAATAATCCTCTCAAAACCATTGGGAATCATCCGCCACTGGATCAATATTGGCAGTTATCAAATGGGGAATCATCCTCAAAAATGAATAAACGTCGGCATTTATCATGATTTATCATCATCACATGTATCATTATTGGTCGTCGAAGTTTGTTCGTTTGAATATAGATGTGGGATTCTGTTTTGATGATGATTGAACAAGAAAAAATGACGTTTCAGATTTTTCGGGATGTGGCTTCTCAGCCAGCAACCAGTCACCAACAGACTCAGAAGAGAAAATTTCGACACTTGCTTCGGATATATCAATATATCTCATCCCCAAAATGGCTATTTGAACCATGATGATAATCCGATTTATGGGTGCACGATTTTCAGACAAATCACCTGTGGAAAAGCGATGATCGGTTGAGATGACGAGCCACCAGCCAGACTTTCACAGTGGCCCTGTCTCAAATAAGCACGGCCAGAAAATCCCGATTCTCAATTACACATATAATCCTGTGGTAATCAGATCTGACAATTGTAAATCCACCATTCATATGTACAATATATACATGGGTATTATATATATATATATCCATTTATACTGTAGTGGATTTTCGCATAAAAAGCCTCCACTGATAGGGACTTTCAATGGATTTCTCGAAATTTTCCTATGATTCTCCCATTAAAACCTCCATGTCGTGAAATACCCTGAAACATCTCCATGGCCAACTTAGTAGAGTACCATTTGCTAAAGATTTGCCATTGCTTCCGTCATGTTGCTTATATGAAGCTTCTATTTTCGCTGCAACTTGGGCATGTTGTAATTCTGGGAGCCCATCATGGCGCATTGCGTCTCAGGTTCACCAGTATGGATGTGAACATGGATGGGACCATCCAATACGATGAGTTCTTGGACTCTTGGAGCTGGCAGAGCTGGGTGCAGCAACCAGACAGATACTACACAGCGCATACCCACATACCCACGTACGTATATTGTATATATAATGCATTATGAATATGTGTATGTAGAGCTAAGTATGGGTATAGATACATGTATATATTAAACTATATTGAGCTATGTAGAGGTATAGATAATTACATGCATTTGGTATCGTAAAGGGTGTACGCATATACGCGTGGATGAAACGTAGCTTGATGTGTCCTTAAAATCATCTTGGCGATGGAGAGAGAGAGAGAGATATATATATATATAGAGAGATATATATATATATATATGGCAGACAATGCATTTAGGAGACCCGCAGCGCCACCCAAAACCTCCCAACAAGTTGTAGCCATCAAAGACAAAAGGGAAAGCCAGAAACTAGACACGCCTCTGCCTAGGTCCAAATTGAGGTTCGGCGTTTTTCCTTTTACTCGTACATACCATTTCGATATCCCCTTATTATGCTATAGTATATACCAGTTGTATACATAGTGGTACATCCGGTATTACACATAATTATACCAAATGCACGCACACATATATACTAACCTGGTACAAGCCCCTTGTGCCACTCATGGCGCGACTGCTGGAAAAGCTGTCGCCACGCCGAGAACTGGCTGCTCTCCCGTGAGTCCTATCAGGGCGCCAAGGCTGAGCGAAAGTCGTGGATCCACCCTTCGATATTTCTACATCATGTCAGTTTATATACATCAGAATGCATGGTTAATAGCCATGGTTAGTTCACCTTTGACTGGTTTGTTTCTTACATTTAGATTTAGGCAGATCCTCCCCAACTAAAAGGGTGCTGATTGTTTGAAAAAAACACCTGATTAAGACGCCCAGTCTTCAGCTTCATTAAGGTGTTTGTTCCACCTGTGTTCCACCTATGTTCCAGCCAAAAATCCACCTTTAGCAGCAGCATCCCTCTCATCATCCATTGCCAGGCGGCCATCTTCATGGATCAACAGCGCAAGAGTCGTGACAAAGAAGCAGACACGGCGCGGAAGACGAAGCTCCGAGCCAAGTACGCCAGGCGCCCACGCCGCCTTCTGCAGCATGGGACGGTCGTTTTTTTTTGGCCGGGTGGCAGCCTGTTGAAATGAGTTGGAAATGGGAGGTGAACAGGATTGAAGAGGTTGAAACTGTGAAAGATTGGGAGTTTGATCATCAGAAAATGAGTTCAGCATAGTTCAGCAAAGTTCAACAATCAAAATGCAGGGCATTTGTTTGATGTGGAACTGATTTCGCTCACCTGGACCATCTCACCCGAAGGCTGGACAAGAACGGTGACGGCAAGTGACTTGACCCATCAGCAGGTTTCCTTTTGCGAACCATGGATGGTTTCCTGCGCCTTTTGCACGGTCTTCCATGGTTTCCGGGGGCATTCTCTAAACTACTCTAAACCACAATCCTGAAATTAGAAGCAGGATGAAGCAGGTGTTTTTGTTGCAACGAATTCTTGGCAGATGCCATTTTTTTGCTAAGCAATCATTATCACCAAGCTCAGCATGGCACCTTTTTTGTGACAGAGGTCGATGCCATGCCCGTAGTTGCCTTGATGACTGAACATTGCTACTGTTTGAACATGGTTGGCTTGGTTAGCTTACAAATCGTTAAGACAAAATATCTATGTCCTTTCACGCCTAGCCTGAAATAGTGATACAAACCCAGGCAACCGAGGTAATTGTAGACAGTTCCAATGCCCAGCATAAATCATCCCAAGTGTTTCACTTGTACCCACCTGCCATTATTGAATATATATGTATATATTATATATGCATATAATATATAATAGACACATATTTGTATCCCAAATGTTATGGTTCTTATTGATTTGATTACTCCTGGCACTGATCCAGCGGGCTTCAGGCTTGACTTTGTGGAAGTCTATGCTCCTTCGCCTGAAATTTTTGGCAAAGGATCTGCAGATTATACGCTGCAATCAAACATGGCAATGGGAAATCTCATGAAATCCCCTATACATGGCTGTTTCAACAGGGAAATCATCTATAAGTGAGGACATGTGAGGACTTCCTTAATTGCCACATTTGATTAGCGGTTGATATTTTTTCTTTGAACTGAGAGACGCCACAGGTCTGGAGATTTGGTTGTGATCACTCGATCTTTTCGCAGCGCGCCTGGGACCCTGGGCATCCCAGGAATTCTTGCAGAAGAGGTATCCAAATATGACTCTCCCGGACTTGCGGCACCTCACTGAAAATGGGGACTGGGGACTCTGGGGACTGGTGAAGACCTGGAAACTGGGGATGATGTGGGGAATCTATGAACATCTATGAACATCTATGAACATCTATGAACATCTTCAATGATTTCAGCGTGTCTTTGGAGAAATGGTGACATATATGGGAAAACTTGGCTGGCAAAGAGCGCCGATCTGCCCAGGTTTCTCTACAATTGCCACTCGTCAGGATTGGGGTGCCATGATGCAGGTCGTTGTCAGATCGGTTGCCTTTGCGTGATCTCTATATATATAATATATAATATACATATATATATATATCATTATATACCTGTGTGTGTGATTGTGTTTGTGTGAGGGTTTCTTACAATGGGTGATCCCCGAAACCATGGGTTTCAATATTAAAATGCTCTAATTTTGGATGATTTGGGGCCAGCCCCAGTCTAGGAAACCTCCGTGTATCTATATATATATACATACATATATATATATATAAATAATACATTAATTTTGTAATACATATTGCATGTTTATGTTTGTGCGCACCTGCAAGTGCAGCAGCCCAAGAAAAACATTGGGCTACTACTATTAGCATTATATGAGAGGGGCCGGTGATTTTTTTCCATACGCATATAAATGTAGAAAATGGACAGCTAGAGTCAAGATGCCATCCAAATGATTGGAGAGTTGCCAGGGAAGGAACCACCGGCAGTTGCCAGTTTGGGAGACTTCCGGGTGGTCCACTTCCAAAGTATTCTTGACTGTTGGTTGTCTAAACAAATCTAGTTTTGTTGATCAAAGCCCAGTTGTTTTGTGTTGCCAACCAGAGTTACATCATCATAATACTATATGATACTATAATTTGCTACATCTCACTTAGGTTTCACGTTTTGCTCTTTCACATTCGCAGCCCTTCCCCAAGCTTTACGGCTCCCGAAGCTGCGAAGCTTCAGGTGCGGACAAGTCGCAGGATGGCATTTTGGACTTCTACGAGCTATTGGCAGCGCGGCATGGGTGGATTGTGGTTGCGACGGGTAAACGTTTGGAAAACCTCTGGGGAAACCCGTTCTTACGATGATCTACACATAGTGGATTTTCCGTGTGTAAACGTTTACTGGAGGGTAACTTTTTTGTGCTTTGAAATTGTCAGGGAAAGAGAGAACTACTGTAATTAATTACGAATTATGTCTAATTATAGTTTAGTTAATAGATTATAAATTTTTGGTAGACTATCTAAATCTGCTGGTGCATGTGCCGTGTGTTTTTGCTGCAAAAAACAGAAGTCTCCAATTAAACCCATAAAATCATCTAACATCACCATAAAAACTTGATGGTTGATCCTTATGAAATCCATATTTTCGACCGTATGTTCATCTAAAATCACCATAAAATCACCATAAAATCACGATAATCACCATAAAATCACCATAATCACCACAAAATCACCATAAAATCATCATTTAGACCTCCGGTCTGAGGACATGATGATGGTGTTGCCCAAGAAAGCAGCTGGAGATGCGGGAGCTCCCAAGGAACATCCGCCACTTGGACCTGGAAGACAACATCAATGGTGGATGATGCTTAACAAATGTTATAAGAATGGTTAGTGTGGGTTAATAATGGGGGATAGTGGTTAGATATGGATAATAATGGGTTAATGATGGTTATTTATGGTTACTAATGGGAATAATTCATGATGGTTAAAACCCATTATATGGATAATTAACCATGGTTAATGATTGATAATGGGTTAATGATGGTTATTTATGGTTAATAAATGTTAATAATGGTTAATATGGCTTGATTGTTTGTTTTTAATTGTGGGTTAATAATGGGGAATCATGGTTCATAGATTGTTTTTTAGGCTTAACTTCTGGTAATTGAGTGAAATCGATGGTTAATAACAGTTAATGATGGGGAAAAATGGTAGTGCACAAAACATGGATTGCTTGACAATGGGTAATTGGAATACCATCTTATTGCTCTGGCAAAAATGCTCTTTTGTAACATATTTACTTGCGAAAAAAAAAGAAGTGCAGCTCCATCGATTTGATAAACTACCAGAAGATAATCATATATAAACATGGTGATGCCACCATGTGTTCCACATGTAACTAGTAGAATTGATATAGCTGGTGATAATTTGAATCCACGTTTGGAAAATTTGGGAAATCTTTGAGGAATACCTAACATGAATAGGCACTACAGGTATAAATGCTAGTTTTGAGGCTGGACATGGACCCAATATTTGTATCTCTTCACGCAACCTCATGTCTAACCCACAAATCTAACTGGACATCTTCAGCCGGATCTTCTGAACATATAACTACGGCATGAAGTGGCTATTACCAACTGATTGACGGACAGCCATCGCTTGCTGTGAAAGGATCTCATGTCAACCATGGCTGGGTCGCCAGAGGTCTGAGCACAGTATGCGAAGAAACCATATTTCTTTCCGATGGTTGTACCCTCTAGTAATTTCACGTAGCTATAAAACATTAAAATGGACCATTTACTTCGACATGGTGATTTTCCATAGTTAAATAATCAGATGGCGTTTAGGATTTTTGAACACTTGGTTCAATGAGAAAATATGGATTCTCCACGGCACCAGGATGATGCCCATGGAGTTCAGATGGGCTCATATTTCAAACAGAACAAAATGATAAACTTCAGATCAATGGCTATGTAAGGGGATATACAGCCAAAATATTTCTTTATATGGTACTAAGGTACCTCCATTTTAGGATCCTGGAATTCCCATTGATCAGAGGGTCAACAAACCCCCAAGTTCAGTCCCTTTCATCAACAAGGATAGTTTGCGGTTGCTTTGAGGCAGGCCCAATCACCATTTGTCAATCATCCCATGGTTTGGGCCCCCAATTCATGATCCAAGACCCAACTAAATCAGCAGAGATAATGGTTGTTTAGGTGAAGCATGCCAAAATAGCCAGACTCTCAGGCTGGTGAATTATAGAAATTCAGTTTATATAAATCCGCTATAATTCATGTTCATTGCTTAAATTCATCTCAACTCCGCATTTGTTCTCCAAGATCCCCCAGCAATCCCATCCCCCTATTGTTTGACAATGAACAGCCCCATAATATGGTCTCAAAGAATCCCAAAGACTGGTAAATCCCTTACATCCACCATGGTTTCTAGGGAATCTTTGGAACCGGGGGGGTCCAAGGCTCTCGGCGGCCATCATGCGACAGGATGCCAGGCGGGGGTATCCTGTGTCAAAGGTGGCTGGAAAATCTTGGGAAGATGTGGGAACATATGGGAGAACCCACTATAAATGGAGGTTTCTAGCTCGAACGAAATGGCAGATGTTCCATGAAGCCACGTGTGATTACCGGAAGGTATTTCGACAATGGTGGATCGATTTGGGTTTTAACCCGGTAAATATTTGTAAGCATACATCACATAAAGACGGAAAATCAGACATGTAGAGCCATGGATGTCCATAGCTTTTTATTTGACTGGATGATCCTCTTGTGACTGAGACGTTGGCTCAGCCAGGGATGATATCAAGGAGGCCTTGGCAAAGGAGGAAAAAGATCAGAAGGAATGGATGGAGAAGCCCGGTTGGAATAGGGTGAATGGATGGTTGGAAAGTGGTTGGAGTATCTGATTGGGTGGAGAATCTGGGCAAATTGGCTCAAGAACTGAGATGAGTTTATGGGAAAACCCATTATTTAAAGGTGATCTTTAACATCATGGGAGTATATGTTGGAACAGGGGTTGGAGAATGGTGATGTCACCACCAGAAAGGGCGATTCTTAGGGTTGGAAAATTAGGGTTGTTGGTTTCCAGGATTCCTCGAATGATTGGATGGAGAATCCTGGTTCTTTCGATCAGGACTTGGATGGATGTGATTCCTGTCTGATTCCTGCCGCATGAAATGGAATGTTCATGAAAAAGTTGGCTGGGGTGGAATTCATCTCCCACCAAAACTTGTAGATGGGTCAACATCGAAAAGATGATGTCTATGGATGTCCTGTGGCTCGGGCTCATGTTGGGTTTCCACGGCCTGCCCAGGAAAGTTAATGATATGACTTCGAAGATGAAGGAGTTCAAGGATGATGAACGGAGGCCACCGTTCCACTGGTGAAATGGCGAAATGGCAGTGGCAACCCACCACGAACACTGTTGGTACCCTCTGGTAAACTCACATAACTATGGAAAATCACCATTTTTTTATAGATAAATCAACTATAAATTGCCATTGTCAATAGCTATGTTAAATTACCAGAGGGTAATATATGCATTTTGAAGGTTTCCCTTAAGTAGATCCCAAACTGGTAAAACAATCAAGCAAACAGACGTGGGTTTCCCATGGTTTCCCATGGTTTTGTTTCCCAGAGTTTTTCCAAAGTGTTCCACCTCCAAAGGGTGAAAAAAGTCTCCCTTTCCCGAGGCACAAGGAGTTTCGGGAGGCTCACAAGAAGGCAGTTTTTGGAGGGGAAGTCATGAATCTTGACTTAGAAAAGCCGCAATGGCCACAAGGTTGAATGCTGATCACGTGGCGGTATTGCGCATGTCCCAGTTCCAGTAGCCGCCAGTAGCCGCTATAGCTTCATATCACTGGGCCTCCCTCACCATCCAACCGTGAGCCTCCCCGAGAGTTGCCAGGTCATGCGCGAGCACTACGCCAAAACGGGTCAGCTCCAGTTCTGACAACTTCAACGGAGCCCGCGACAGAGATTGGGGCAAAAAGCTGGGGAAACCTTGGTGAAGGACGATGAGCATCGTGGAATAACCAGAGAAAACAATGAAATTCCAGATGGTTAAAACATGTTAAAACATGTCAAAACATGTTGAAACATGTTAAAACCCGCAAGAAGAAAGGGAACGAAATCACACCAATGCAGATGTACCACTGCTAGGAATGGCGATACAGCAAGTCAACCAAACCGGAACGATATTGACTTTGAGAGTTGTAGTTTTTATTGGTATTTCTCGGAACCCCCTGACAAAACTGGCGGTTATTGGGGGGTTCCTGTTCTTGCATCATCAAATGCTGCATCCTTGGGTTTCGATCGGGTTGCAAAAGAAAGCCATCTAATGTACAAGCCTCCAATTTTGCTGGGTTTCTGCCGCCTGTTTCTAGTGAAAGTGGGGATAGTTTTTTTTACGCCAAGTCGAAATTTCCTGGCTGCCGTGCTTCGTTCCCGCGGCTAAGCCGTGGGAACGAAGGCTCTACGTTTCACCGCTTTGGTTCAGGGCCAAAAGACGCCCCATGGCAGGAGAGACATGCTCATACGAAACTCGCAAGGTCTGGAAGTCCATGAATGATATGAATGCATGTTGATACAGCTTCTTTGACCAGATGTGTCCTGACTTGGCTTCCGTGTCAAGCCAGGCCAGACCTCATGGGCATGTAAATTAACTCATCAGTTGCTTCCCGGATGCTCGAACGAGCAGCAATTCGGCAGCAAAAGGAAGTTTTCTGCCTGGGTTGGCTCATTCAGGAAGTCCATCAGCGAGCTGGCCCATTGTTTGATGTGCAATGGAGCCCTGCCAGATAGCCACTTTTGATGCTGATGGATGGCCGTTTACCCAGTGACTGTCAATAGGGGATCTGGGATGGGTTGCTTGGATCGTACAGCAGCCCACAGGTGGCCGGTTCCACCAATGTGAAGGTTGATCCAACATCATCCGCTTGTACCCAAGCACCACAGATTTCATGGAGGAAGATCATTAGGTTCCCAGTTTTGTATTTCATAATATATGCAGTTGGCTTATCAATGCTTATCATTATCAGATAGATAGGTTGATTGATTGATTGGTAGATAGATTGATTGATAGATTGATAGATAGATTGGTTGATAGATTGATTGGTTGATAGATAGATTGATAGATAGATAGATTGATAGATAGATTGATTGATAGATTGATAGATAGAAAGATTGATTGATAGATTTATAGGTAGATAGATAGATTGATAGATAGATAGATAGATAGATTATCCATTCGATTATATATACAACATTATATAACCCATAATAACTCACACATATAAATCAGATAATAACCATATATGGGGTTCACTTCCGAGATCTTTCCATCCCAACATGCCACAGTGAAGCCGGCTCAAGCTGGGCCTGCAATCATGGAGCATTTTGCAATGGACAATTTAAAGGTATCCAAATTTAGGGGGGAAAATCATGATGGGGGTTCGGCATGTTATGATATGCTATGCTTCAGCAATTCAGCATCTTATGTGTCAGCAATTCCTTGACATTATGCTTTGCAAATCCTCGGGCATGCACATATGTTCTGATTGAATTTTGTACGAACTTGTTGATTTGCAGTTTTCTATTTCGTCGGGCAAGCATCAGGAAACCAGATTCCCAGAAAGCATCATATGCATTCATATGCAGCTTCTGTAAACCACATGTATCCAAAAGTATCCACAATATTACTTTCCACTTATCCACTTGTCACTGTGCAGCCAGCATCCCCAACAACGTCCTGGAAGAGCTGTAAGATTTTGCGGACTTTGAAGCGCTCAATGAGAAGCACCATGACAGGCCGGGTCACAGTGCTGGCACGCCATGCCGGTGGGCCAAAGTTTAGCCTTTGGCAATCTTTGGCAGAACTTGAGCAGTCTCATTGTCATCAGGTTGATGAGTGGGATCATGTTTGATGATTTTCAGACACAGTGGGCTCCGAACACACTGTCAAGCAGTGAAACCCTGGGGGTTCATGCCACTGATATCCACTGATAGGAAGTATAGGTTCACCCCATTTACATCTGACTTACCCTCTGGTTATTTAACATAGCGATGGAAAATGGCCCATAAAAATAGATGGTTTACCTATTAAACATGGTGATGTTCCATGGCTATGTTAAATAACCAGATGCTAAACCCCCATTAAAATTCCCATTAAAAGCCATCACCCCATCGAATCTGGCAGGATGAAACATGGACCAACCTGGTGTTTTTTACTCACTGATCCCACTAGTCCAACATATCTTTCCGGCAGGCATCGGAGCTGCAACTCAAGCCCCTCACCCGGTGGTGATGGACGACGTGGAAGGACAGGATTGCGGGGCCGGGTGGTTTATCCCACTGAGTGTATACCCACTGGTAGTCACATGTGGCAGTGGGAAAGCCCATAAAAAAACTGATGGCTTTAGATGGTTTGAGTGGCAAAAGCATCTATAATTGGTGGACTTTCTATTCTATGCTTGATTACTGGAGGGTAAGTAGGTTATATCCCCGGTTATACGTGGAACAAATGGATAAGTAGGGTCAATCCAATTACAGCCCAGATTTTATTGTACTTACTAAGTGAGATGAGCCACCAAGTATGCTTCAGCAAACGGTCTGGGAATGAGTACTTGGGTTGTTCCCTTTGTGGGGTGAGATTTTGCCGCAACAATGACACCTGCGAGGGCCTTTAAAGCCATGGTCACACAGGTATAGTTTTGATGCATTGTTCTCCCGCAAAAATATCATGATATTGCTGGAAAATGTTGCATAATTCTCAGTGAGGTTTCAACCGTTTCGTTGATTTTCATTTTGCTGTTTCTAATCCCAAATTTGGTGATTCTCCGGTTGGCCAGCATATTTTGATCCTGGCAGGCTCATCGACCAGGCGGTGCATTTATATACTGTATCCCCATTTTGAATCTTGCTTGCCCATCACTAGCAGCATTTTAGCGCTTGATTGGGCTATAGCATGCTATAACCTATACTACATTATACTACCTATACCCGCATATTTGTCTTAGTAGCTGGCTGACACTAGAAATGCCAATCTTGGGTTATGCCTATTGACCCCATTCTTTGGGGATCGCCAGGAGCCTTCGAAGAAACGCCACGCGATCATCGGGACGAAGTCGATGTGGAGGAGGAAAGGTGTTTCCAACGATGAGGGCACAGCCAATAAGATGCTGGAGATACCATGGGGATCCATGGGGTAAATTTTCAGCTACGGAATATGGTCCATTTAGTTCGATGATTTGTGAATTTTCAACGTGGTGATGTTTCGCTAAGTCTTAAATTACGGGGTACCAGAGGTTTTTTCATTGATAGAAAGGGCCAACAAAGGCCAACAAACAGCCTAGCGCCCCAGCCTGTCATCGTTGCCATAGGACCTGTATCCTTACTGCATCGTTTGGACGCCCATCCCGGGATGCACCTGGTGCTTTCCCTTCATTGGCACCTCGGCTTGCGGGGCTTGCCTGGACCTGGATGTGAAAGTGGGAAACATGGAGCTATGGTATGCTATGGTCACTATAGCAGTGATCCTGGGTATAAGCAGAAAAGGGGGATAAGATTGGGATGATTAGGTGAAGCGGCTCGGGAATGGCTGGTTACCAGATTTTTTCTTGTTCAAGGCTTCGGAAGTGGCTTAGGACCCCCAAACAAGAAACTGGGATGTATTGGGATGTATTGGAGGCACCCCAGTTAATAACCATGACCCGCAAAGTGGCATTGGGCATTGGGCATTGGTATCTTTTCAGTAGGGTGTCATGGATCAGAACCCAGCTGGATCATCCCACATCCATCTGTGGACGACCTGGATGATATGACCAAAAACGATGCCAGCGTTTTTTGTTTTCACGGAGTTGGGGGTGTTCAATCGTCACCGTAAGTGATATCATAATAATATAATATATGGTGAATTATTGTAATGAATTAATCAGTGCACGTTTGCCCTGCAGCCCGTAGTAGTGCGCAGGCATTATAAGACCTCAAAATCATTGAGGTTGGAGCTTGTTATTTTGACGGTTTCAATGTCAAGGTGTCAGAATTTCATCTGAGAAAGCAATGGTTGAATCACTTGTAAGAGGGTTCGAACAAGGGGTTCAACCATTTGGGTGTTTTTTTCAGTGGTGTCTATCCAATAGCCATCAAACAATGGGAATTTGGAAAAACCATGACCTAATCAAATGTGCTGGCACCACGTCGTGGCACCTATTTCAGGTCACATGTGCATCGGCACAGCAGATGGCCAGGTGGAGGGGCTTGGTGATTTTTAAGGCTTTCCTGGACAATGGGAATTCATCGAACATCCACCAACAAATACGCAAAAACGGAGATGTATGTCACAGGAAAGGGTTGTAGGTCAAGAAATTTACCGGAAGAACGTGGGGATGTATGGTCATCACGCCACCTAAAGTGGAGTGTTTAACACTAGCGGTGATGGATATCGGTCAGGGCCCGGCAGCAAGCATTTGAAATCGGAAGCATGTTTAGAGTCCAGTTATCCACAAAATCGCTGGGTACTGTCCGCTATTCTTCCGGGATATTGCGGCCAGGATCGCCCAGGATATCAAAGATATCACCAGGAAAACTTGCACATTGTGCGGATATTCTTGAAACACTGGAATCCAACGATCGGAAAAGCTGGGCGAAACACGGTGAACACCCGTTCGAACCCGTGGCAGGTCATGGAATTTATGGGCTTTGGAGCCACCAAAGCACCTAAAGGCCCTGCTGAAAGATTCTGGTGTGAGATCCCTTTTGGACCACCAAAATCTGGGATATGTTCACCAGTTGGATCCATGTGCTGATCAGGGGGTAGGACATGGGTAGGCTGCACCTGCGGCCCCTAAGACGCCAGATAAGGATTTCAATAAGTAATTTTTGATTGAAAAAGCTTCCGCACACCGAAAGATCATCAAACATCTTTGTTGGCTTTGTATGGTTTTGTATGGTTTTGTATGGTTTTGTGTCTTGTTGGCATTTGGTGATGGGTAGCCGGCGGGTCTCCAACCACAAACCAGCCCCTCCCAAGGAAACATGGTACCATGTATCATGTGACAATGACATCTTAATCATGTATCATGTGACAATGACATGTACGGTTTTAATATGTTTTTATTTAATGTTAATGTGTTTAAAATTGTCTTGAACGCGTTGAATCGCAATCTTCCTCGCTGGAACCGTTTTTTGCTGGAAACCGTTTGTTGCTTCCCTTTCCGCCACGCTGAGGCGGCCTATCTTTTGGCCCCGTCTGTCGGTGACCAAAAAAATCGAGGGATGTGCTGTGTTGGTGGAGGCGGGTATCCAAACTTAAACCTCTTCTATCTTCTGTGATGTATGTGTGATGTTGTGTGTGTGGTGTTTTCATATGATTCAATTATAATTAATTGAAGTTAGTATTTCAAACGGTTCTGTACCATACTGTAGCATGACTGGATTCAGACATGCCAAAAACTGTGCCATATCTCTTGCTATACCCCCTTAGACCCCTCAATAACCATCAAAGATGCAATATATCGATACAGCACCTATTTGTATGCTCAAGCTTTGACCTACTCCAACTGCTATCCGACCCATGGGTTCTCATTTCGGAAATTACTGCATCATATAGTGCTCCTGGTTGGTGGTTTGGAACATTTGTTATTTTTCCATATATTGAGAAGAATCATCCCAACTGACGATTTCATATTTTTCAGAGGGGTAGGTATACCACCAACCAGTGCTCAGTGACATACGATGACGTATTACCGGGAGACTCATGTGCAGCCCAAGGCCGATATGTGCAGCTGAGAAAGGATCGAGTTCGCAGGGGAACGTCCTGCACTTGGATAGCGCATGCTGGGGCTACGACTGGAGTTGGCCTTGGGAGCGCATTGCCATTCCCAGGTTTGATGCTTAAGCCCTTATGGTCCACTGTTTATAACCTTCCATTCTCCATGAAGCACCATAAGCCCCCATAAATCACCATCAATTCTCCATAAGTCTACAAGTTCACCATAAATCCATATAATTCCATATAATATCATATAGTTAAATCCAACATCAAGGCCTCATTTTCCGAGTTTTCCTAGTTAAATCCTAGTTTCCGAGTTTTCCTCATAACCACCATGAAATCGCTATAGCCTCCCTGAAAAACCCACCTTTTTCACCCAGAATTTTGAACGACCCCCAGGTGGAACGAGGCCATCCACAAGGCCATGGCCCAAGCCACTGGACGCCCACACGGTGGCTGCATCTCCAACTGCAGCCTGGTGCAACGGCAGAAATGGGGAGGTGGCAGTGAAGATTTTCAATCAATGGATGTGTTTATTTCAGAAAATTTGAATTGCATATGGAATGTTATTTGATTTTTGGGAAGTTTAAGGGAATTCTAGGGAATTCTATATGGATGTTATTTGATTTTTTGTGATGTGTTTATTTCCGACAAGATACGGATGGAATTGGCGTTTCAGTGATATTTGTTCCATATTGGATTCAATGGAGTTGGATCCCCAAAAATGTTTGAGATCGTATTTAATATTACCCTCTGGTTGGTTATATAACATATCCATGGAAAATGGCCCATTTATAGATGGTTTACCTATTGAAAATGGTGATTTTCCATGGCTATGTTAAATAACCAGAGGGTAGATGGAAGGGATGAGTCGTCAAAACATGCGGGTGTGTAAGAAACAAACCATCTGGGGATGTAACTTGATAAACGAACAACAAATTGGATATCAACACAACATAGGGATGTAGCAGAACATGGGGGTCGGCATTCCAACAATCTTGATTGTTAAGCAACCATGATGAGTAAAGATTGCTCAAATTTCAGGGAAATTGATTTGGAACTTTTCGTTGGTCATTTCGATGGGGCAAAAAAATCATCTGGTTGGTGGTTTGGAACATTTGGATTATTTTTCCATAACATATGGGATGTCATCCTTCCCATTGACTCATATTTTTCAAGATGGTTATTGCACCACCAACCAGTCATCTTTGGGACTTAAGTTCTTCGATGACGCGAGTATGCGGGCTTTCCAAGTCCGGCTGGGTGGGTCAAGACTTGGACCCGAAGAGTTGTCATGACTTACCCGCTGGTACCCGTAATGACTAACAGTTTGCTATTGAAAATGGCCATAGACATAGTGAGTTGTCCCATGAAAAATGATGATTTTCCATAGTTATGTAAACGTTTACCAGAGGGTACTGCATACGTAGCATATATCATATTTATGAATTACCCGCTGGTTATTTAACATGGCTATGGAAAATGGCCCACATATAGATGGTTTTTGGTGATTTACCTATCAAAAATGGTGATTTTCCATGGCTACGTTAAATAACCAGAGGGTAATATATTTTATGTATATATATAATTATATATATAATTATATATATATATATAATTATATATATATAATTATATATATATATATATCTGTCTCTCTCTCTCTCTCTCCCCCCAAAATTTACACACTGGTTGGTGTGTTTCTTAAAATATATTCATATTTTATGTTCCATCCCCCCTGGATGGTGATTCCATGTGATTCCTATTGATTTTCATAGTTTTGGCAGGGGGGTGAAGCACAAGATACCTAGGCTTTGGAAGACGAGTTTCCCAGGGGAAATTTGAGGTCACTCCTTCGTAGCGGATTGCCTGCACGAGATGAGGCCGGTACAGTAGGGAACGACCTTCTCAGTCCGCAAGTTGTGTGAGAAGATTTGGGGAATAATTGGGTAAGTAGGAGAGGACTTCAGGAAACATTCTTGGATCCAGAGGGCCTTGTTTCCCGGGTCGAAAATGTAATGGATTACAGGCTGCTTGGTGAGCTGTGTCTGTACAGGGAGACTGCGTGCTTTTTGCCAAAGCTTCAAGCCGATTCAAGCCGTTGAACATGAATAATTCAGAGTGCCTTCATGGCATTGCTGAAATATCACCATTTGAGCATCCCAATTTGATTTCTTCCCCGGCGTGAATTGCGGTTGGCACGCCTGTTCTACACAGGTACTGTGGCATTCCCTGCTGGAACTGGCTGTCGCTCCGGGGGGGATGCGGGTTGTCCCTACAATACCTGAATGGATGGGTGAAAAGACCCAAGCTCTGTTTTTCTAATGGCATCATATATTATTATATTGTATTATTATATCATTATATATTATTTTCATTTATTTTCTAATGGCCCGCAATGCTCACCAACATTTTTTTTTCGGCATCATGGATGCGACAATCCAAGATTTTGTGGATTCCTTTTGATTTGATCACTTAGTTTACACCTGTTCAAACTACCCTCTGGTTATTTAACATAGCCATGGAAAATGGCCCATTTATAGATGATTTTCCCATTAAAACCTCCATTTATAAGGGATTTTCCATGGCTATGTTAAATAACCAGGGGGTAATTATTTCCTATCCTCCGTAACCTTGGAAAGCTGATCATGAGGTAAACCCAGTAACAAGCAATCCTTAGTTAGGGTTTACTATTTGGTAATACCCCAAGTAATGCATGATCTAAAATGAACACGAAACGGTTGAGAACCCGGATGGTTTTATGGCATTGGCTTAGCCACATTCGTGTGCTCCTGTGGGGCTAGGATGGAAAGATGATGAAAGTGGGGTAGTACACCCCAAAACTGCATGCCATTAGTTGGAAAATGAAGCTAAACCATGGAAATGTCAGGATAACTACTTATTTTCAGACAAACTAATATACGTAGTAGCACACTGCGTGGCCAACTTTGAGAAAAAAAACGTGCTACAAATAGAATAATAGATTAGTTCACATGAGCACCCAGTGGTGCTTCATGCGACATTCAGGTCATACCTCTTGGCGGTTTGGGTCTTCATCTGCGTCCCATCCTCAGCAGGTCAGGGTGCATATCGAAAAATAGAGGATTTGGATTTGGACTTTCGAAAAAATGCCAGGTTACCCACCCAAAATATGTCTTTTTGATAATTTCCTGGAGTTGGTCACTATTGTTGGTGAATGGTGCTTGAACCATTCGTGGCCTTGAAGCTTTCATGACTGTGATGGCACTTTCGCCTTGCCACTGAGGGGCACTTCACCACTTGCCCTCGCACCACGGTCTGGGGCCTGCAGATGGCGTCGCAGCAGGGGGATTGTGATTTCTGCGGGCTTATGGATATCTATAAAATTATTTGCAACCATGTGCATGAATTGGTTGTGCTGTTTTTGCCTGTAGACCTATGCAGGGGTTCTCTGATTTGTTTGGGCCATTCTGCAACTAGGACCTAAGGATTTGTATGTCTTTGTAATATTATTAATTTCTTACTCAGGATGAAATTCCTCATTTATCCTCAATTCACTCTTGGGTTGAAGCCACCAACCAGACAAATGATGATCACGATGTATCCTAGTAAAAACAATGTTTTGAAAGGGTATCTACGGCTTGTTTCGCTGCGGCTGCCTGGCTCAAGGTAGCGTCAGGTACAGCAGCCTATCCGAAAGATACCGCTGAAGCGCATGGCTTTGCAAAGGGAAACTGCACAAAAATCAGTACCGTGGCTGTGTGAAGATGTTCACACCAATAGGCAGAATACTGTCCCCAGTATTTGGATGTGTTGTGTGTATTGCAAAAAGTTTTCACGTTCATTTCATCTCCCAATCTGATCCGAGTTCATTAGACCCTCACTCTTAATAAATCATCTATTTAAAACTTAGACTTTACCTCAGAGTTAGTAAGAAAGGGTATTCCCAGAATATTAAGCCTAATTATTCCCAGAATATGATCCCAGAATATCTGAGTTTATTCGGCACTTATTCTTACTATGATCATCTATCATCTATTATCATCTATTCAAAAGTTAGATGTGGCTTCTACCAGATAAGTTTCTGAAGTGACTGATATTATTTTAATCCCAGATATATATAATATATATATATATACATTAGTATCATCTATTTAAAATTACTATATAGTATCATCTATTATCTAATATTAATATATGTTAACCCTATATTAACATATATTAAGCCCAATAGTTTAATAGTAGATTTGGCAAGTCGCCATGGAGCTGGAAGTGGATGGCATCGCTGGACACCTCTGCACGGCATCATGGCCATGATTTTTGTGGTGTTTTTCGTTGGGTTTAACGGTTGAGCCCTCCAGTCAACAGACAAAAAGCTATGGAAAATCACGGAAAATCACAATTTGTCATAGGTAAATAGTAGAATCACATATAAATCAGCCGTTTTCCATAGCAAACTGTGAGAATCACCAGAGGGTAAGCATCAAAAATTAGTGACGCATCAAGATATTTGGGTCGATATGGGTGAATCTTGGTGCATGGCTTGAGCACAGCCAGGGATAGACCTAGAAATGGGTCGGGGATGGGTGCCCCATGGTGCCCCAAGATGCAGTGGTGTATCATCATTTCCACCATCAAAACGGCAATCTTGCATCATTTTGATTAATATATGGTTAATATACGGCTAATATATGGTTAATATATGGTTAATATGCGATTTTGGGTGACCTTCTATCCCCTATTTTTTGACAGACCCAGGATGACCCAGGTGGTTTGTTTGGGCTGTCATCATGCATGGCTAGTTACCTTTGCATGAGCAGTGAGCACATGATGTAGCAGCAATCATTACGTCCTGGGGATGCTGGTGGACACTTCACGCCAGTTGGCTAGTTACACTGGTTTCGTTTGAATAACCAGTCAATAAGCTCCAGTAAGGTGGTGGTCAATAAGATCACCCATTTGTCGTGTCATGTAATATCTTGACTAAATCATGCTATGTCATAGTGGATAATGTTGAATCATGTTGCAATACTAATGATAGTGTTTATTTAAAAAGACTATTCTATCTGTATATAATTATATATATATATCAAGTTAAACTCCTAAGTTTGCCCCTAGACACCTATGCCTCACATGCCACATGCAGCACTCGCGCCGTTGGAAAAACAAATCAGGTCACGATCGCGGAGGAGTGGACCGCAACTTGGCCCTGTTGGGATTCCAACTGCAATCAGGTAACGATCTGTTGATCGGTCATGATTAGCTATTATTGTGACTATAATGTTATAGTTTCATAGGTCATTAGCTATAGGGAACAATGTTGTCATATTACTATAGATGTTGATAAGATATGATAAGCAACTAATATTAGGTGGTTCCATTATTACGATTATAGTAATAGGTGTTGCTTCAATAACTAATGCGGTGGAATCGTCCCAGAAACCTTGAGCAGCTTGGCAGATCACGTCCGCTTGACATGTGGATATTTGTTGCTTCTCCTTGTCCCGGTTGTTCCTTCTCTTATGGTACATCCCTAGTCTTGTAATATTATTGTGCACATATATGTCCTATTCTATGCCTGTTTCGACATGTGTAAATATATACTACGTACATATATGCACATGGGACCCCATATGCTTTTTTTCAGAGAGAGAGAGGGAGGGAGTGTTATCCTGGTGTAGAACGTGGACATGTCAAAGACACCTCACTAAAGTCGGAAGATGTTTGAAATTTCATCCGTTTTACCGCGAGGTCCGCAACTTAAAGGAGGCCATTGAGCTCCAAAGCGGCATCCCTGCGGACCAGCAGCGCCTGGTGTTAGGCCAGGTCCAGGGTGGCCAAGGGGATGACGAGGCAGAATATAGGGAAAATGGAGAAAACAAAATGGAAAATCACGGAAAATATGAGGAAAACATATGAACAGCCAGTAAGTGGGAAAGTGGAAACTTGCAGAACAACATCTCGGAAAATCGGAAGCAAAAAATCAAAAAGGAGTAGGGACGACCATGGGATGGAGTTTGAAATGGGGCCAGTCATAAGCACCTACAGCAAGAGGTAGGATTTTTGGCTCCAGAGACCCCTGGAGAAAGCATGGAACCAAAGTAGCCACTTTGAAAAAGAACCTTGTCCTACAGAGCCTTTTTTTGGTGGCTGAATGGAACGTCGGTGTTCAATTCTATTTACCAGCTTTCACGGTCAAACCATTCTGGTTGACATTTAAATCCAGATGTTGACTAGTTTTGGTGGTTCAAGTAGTGGATGGTAAAATGTCCATGTTTGATGGCCAAAGCCACATGTTTGATGTTTAAATCATCATTCTGGGTGGGTATTTCCGCACTTTTTGATTGTAAAAAAGATCCTGGTTGAATCTTAGAAGTTAAAAGGTCCATAAATCTCCAATTTTCTTCCTGGTTCAACCCATTCACCCACCTCACACCTCCACTTCCAGGCTACCACGAACTCCAGGACGCCCAGGCTTTGGACTTGGGCGCCGGCCGTGTGACGCTGCTGAGGCGTACGCCTGAAGAGGTGCCGGTGATGGCAAATGGCTGGTCCTTGAAGATGGAGAAAGTCGCAAAGGATCATCAACTATGGAACATGTTTTCCACATCAGATATGGTAGCACATGATAGCACATGTCGAAATATCATAGAGTATGATTAATGGATATTCATGGTCACTATCAATGGGTGATGCTCCCTTGGCTCATGCAGCTGCCAGATACTGGTTGAGTATTCCCCTACATACACCATACCATGGGTTGGGAAACTCCCCAAATTCACCTGAAATTGACCCAAGAAGGTTTTTATCATCCATTGTGATGAACTATCCCAAAGCGTTTGTGGATTGTTTCTGTCAACGATGTTAGATCCACAACAACTATATAACCATCCCCAATTTGTGGTTCCCCTAGGGAGCATACCTGCTTGGTTCACTTGCAATAGCCCCCAAACTGCTGATCATCGGGGATGCTTCATGGCATTTTGGAGCCCACAAAGGTGAAATTTCTTCAACGCCTGGGGACACTTGACTGCAACTAGTGTGTAGTTTTGGTATTGCTGTTTAGCTCCAGGTGCGACTAGCAAGGTGGGAAGGGAACATCTAATCAAGGGGAACTACCCCAAAATCACCTTATTTCAGGCTGGTGAATTCTCACAATTCCACGAAATGGAACGTGGTGGGGATGTACCACCTGTCCTTGATCTGCCCGAATTGACGCCAAGTTCGGGGATGAGATGAAGCATGATGAAGCGGCGCCGGTTCCCCCAGAATGGCAACTTTGATGGGGAGATTGAAGTATATGGTAATTACTATATGGTATGTATGGTAATTATATGGTAATATATGATATTTTATGGTAATAATATATGGGGTAATATCATGGCAACTTTAAGTCCATTGAATTTTTGGGGTGCCCTAGGTTCGGACAAACCCCAAAAAACGTTGAGAAGTTAAACTAGTTGAACTCCAAAAAATTACGTACCGGACAATCCCAGATACTTCACTGCTGTTTATGTCACACAAGAATCTTCTATCCCCAATCAAGGTGCCCCCCAGCTATGCTTGTTGCTTTATGTTGCTTTACACCCTCATCGACCATGGTACATCTATGCCGTATACCTTTCCGCCCCCAGGACCTGCGCGGCAGAACGGGCGCCCACTCTGCTGCGGGCGGCGCCCGCGGCCTTGCGTGCGGAGCGGGAGGTGGAGATTTTCGCTGTCCGTTCTTGGATTTTTGTGGTAAACGCTTGGAAATTGGAATCTAGACCCATGATGGGATGAATTTTGCCACTAATTTATGGCAAAATTGGGATGCTCATTTTTTTCCAAATCAATGATTTAAGATCATGTAACCATGAAAAGCTGATGGCTAAGAAGCCCCGCCTGGATGTGAATCCCATTTCAACGCCTTCAGAACCGACTATATAATAACTAATAACCCATAACAACCCATAATTATGCAACCCGTGTAGAATTCATCGATCTAAGTGGTTTCTTTCAGCTGGTTATTTCCCACTTGCTGACTGATTGATTTAACCATCAAAAATGTGGAACTGCGAAGCAAACAACGAGTATATGTTCAATTTGATCACCATATTCTTCATCTTTTTTAAGAGACACCTCCGAATGACCTGGAGGGTTGAGAAATCTCAGATTCCTTCCCTCCATGCGACAAGAAATGTGTGGCATCCGCAATGTTTTTCAGGTTGGCTGCAAGTCTCCACCAGAAACCCCAAGGGTAGGCACAGACTTTGAGCCATGGTGCCTTGCACTCGCCCTGTTCACCTAACCTGGTATCACAGGAGATGGAAGTCAAGCGTAAGTCAACAAATAGATAAGAAGAGTCCAAAGGCTGGATTTGTCATCCAACAGCTCATTGGACTGAAGCCAAACAGAGCAAATTTTCAGAATATTTTGGGAAGGTTAGCAGAGAAGGGGCGCCCGGACTTGATCGTTGAAGCATTTGCTGAACAGATACGCAATCAGAGTTTCGCCCTGGACCACAGAGACTTTACAGCCGGAATTTTAGCTTGCGGAAGATCAAAGTTGTGGCAACATGCGTGCTGGCTCTTACACAAAATGCCTGAGGCTAAGACAACTGCCAACATGTTTACTTACAATGCTGCCATAAGCGCTTGTGAGAAGGGTGGCCAGTGGCAGCAGGCATTGAAAGTGTTTGAGGCAATGCCGAAAGCCATGGTGATCCCGGATGTCATCAGTTACAATGCCACCATCAGTGCATGCGAGAAGGGCAGTCAGTGGGAGCGTGCATTGAATTTGCTTCACGCAATGCCGAGAGCCAAAGTGATACCAACGATCGTCAGCTACAACGCTGGCATCAGTGCTTGTGGGAAGGGTGGTCGGTGGGAGCTGGCAGTGAGTCTTTTTGAGGCAATGCGAAAAGCCACAGTGATCCCAGATGTCATCAGCTACAGTGCTACCATTAGTGCGAGTGGAAAGGGTGGTCAGTGGGAGCAGGCACTGAATTTCTTCCAAGCAATGGCGAAAGCCAAAGTGATGCCAACGGTCATCAGCTACAACGCTGCCATCAGTGCTTGTGAGAAGGGCGGTCAGTGGGAGCAAGCGTTGAACCTGTTCGAGGCAATGGGAGCAGGCAAAGTGATGCCAACGGTCATCAGCTACAACGCTGCCATCAGTGCTTCTGAGAAGGGGGGTCAGTGGGAGCTGGCGCTGGATCTGTTCGAGGCAATGGGGAAAGCGAAGGTGATGCCAACTGTCAGAAGCTACAACGCTGCCATCAGTGCTTGTGGATCGGGCGGCCAGTGGGAGCAGGCAGTGAATCTGTTTCAGGCAATGCCAAAAGCCAAAGTGATCCCAGATGTCATCAGCTACAACGCTGGCATCAGTGCTTGTGAAAAGGGCGGTCCGTGGGAGCAGGCATTGAATTTGTTCGAGGCTTTGCTGAAAGCCAAAGTGTTGCCAACGGTTGTCAGCTACGGTGCCGCCATCAGTGCTTGTGGAAAGGGCGGTCAGTGGGAGCAAGCAGTGAATCTGTTTGAAACCATGCTGAAAGCCGCTATGATGCCAACTGTCATCAGTTACAACGCCGCCATCAGTGCTTGTGAGAAGGGTGGCCAGTGGATGCATGCAGTGAATCTGTTTCAGGCAATGCCAAAAGCCAAAGTCATCGCAGATGTCATCAGCTATAGTGCTGCCATCAGTGCTTGTGAGAAGGGCAGTGGATGGGAGCAGGCATTGAACCTGTTCGAGGCAATGCCAAGAGCCAAAGTGATCTCAGATGTCATCAGCTTTAGTGCTGCCATCAGTGCTTGTGAGAAGGGCGGTGGGTGGGAGCAGGCATTAAGCCTGTTCGAGGCAATGCCAAGAGCCAGAGTTATTCCAGATGTGATCAGTTTTAACGCTGCAATCAGCGCTTGTGAGAAGGGTGGTCAGTGGGCGAAGGCATTGAGTCAGTTTGATGCAATGAGGAATGCCAAAGTCATCCCAGATGTCATTAGCTACAACGCTGGCATCAGTGCTTGTGAGAAAGACGGTCGGTGGGAGCAGGCACTGAATTTCTTCCAAGCAATGGCGAAAGCCAAAGTGATGCCAACGGTCATCAGCTACAACGCTGCCATCAGTGCTTGTGAGAAGGGCGGTCAGTGGGAGCAGGCGTTGAACCTGTTGGAGGCAATGCCTGAAGCAGAAGTGATCCCAGATGCAATCAGCTACGGCGCTGCCATTACTGCTTGTCAGAAGGGAAATCAATGGCAACAGGCATTGAATCTGTTCGAGGCAATGCCTGGTTCAAATGTTGCGCCGGATATTGCCACCTACAATGCCGTGCGGGAGTGCAAGGACATCCATAGCAACTCTCTTGGAATTCTCAGTTCTTCAAGATCCCAAGGTAGACCTTCATGACCACTGGGAGCAGCTCGACTCACACTGCATGGTGGTTGACCACATGTCACGGATCGCCTGGAAATGAGCAAAACGTTGGACTACATCGTGGTGCATGGCTGCGGCAAGCCTGGGAAACAATGGACATTCAAGCAGCTGCCCTGGATTTGTTCAAGCGCCTGAAATTGGACGCGGATCCTCAGTCAAAGCCAATCTTTTGCAACCCGTTAGTTTTTCCTCTTTGGGATGGGGTAGGCCAACATCTTCCTTTTTTTGATTCTGAGTCTCAGCAAGCAAGGAACAAGGGACGGATTGGACTGGCAAAATTTTGGGAAAGGTGACAGGAATGAGTCGCTTCGTGTCGTTTCACTCCAGCAGGCAGGCAGCAGGCAGTTGTCACAAAAGGGATATTTGACAACTATTTGACCATATTTTACCAATGTAAGTCCATCCAAATCCTGGTTTTGGCGGCCAGGCACCTCAGGTGTGGCCACGGATCTAAGTTGCCGTGGTTGTAGGAAGCCTTTCAAAGGTTGTTTTGGTACCCACCTCTCAGGATAATCCGGGGAGCTTTCAGGGCCAGACATAAACTGATTTAATGAGCAACAAATGAGGATTGAACAGATGAAAGTGCAATCGGGCATAGGGAGATAGCAGAACATGTTTGCATGGCGTAGTTACTGGTATGTGAAGAAACATACCAATCAGTCATTGAGAAGGATGGTCACCTAAGTAAACTTATACAACCACAGTAGGCTGCTACGACTTGGGCACCCTTCCCTAGGCTCATAACTTTGCGTCGTAGGCATTCAACAAATGCCGATATTCTGGCTCAGTGGCTGCTGGGTAAGCCCCACCCTGATGTAATTAGCATCGAGATGCATTGAGCTGGTATCCTCTAAAAATTCTTCCGGGAAGCGGTTCAGAATGCGTGGCTTCGTGGGGACGACCTAAAGCTGCGGTGGAGGGTTTGCTTTGAGCTATCTCTCATATTCTTATGTTATGTTGATTGATTTCGCTTGTATTTCAGTGTGTTTGTTTATTTATATTTATATGAATGAATATATATATAATATATATATATATATATGTGTGTGTATGCATGCATGCATGCATGCATGGATGGATGGATGGATGGATGGATGGATGGATGGATGGATGGATGTAATGCAATGTAATGTAATGTAACGTAACGTAACGTAATGTAATGTAATGTAATGTTATGATCCCCCTTACCATTTCCACTACTAAAAGAGTGAACACGTGCTTGATATCATCTTCTGTTTCGTGGAGAATTCAAGCCAAAAAAATGGACCCGTGCACCAGTTTTTGTAGTAAAAGGGCGTGCACTGTATCTTGTAGCGGCGTTCCATTTGGCACTCAAAAATCGGAAATGCATTTTGTAGTGATTTATTTTGGGATGCGCTGTGTCGTACCGGAAACCCCAAATCCCTCTTTTGCCGGTCATGCCCGGTTACATGAACATATAGCTTGGACCCTCAGACCATTTTTGGCTCTTGACTCACGATTGGTAAGATGAGCCCCAAAAAAAAACGAAAAAAAAAACAAATAATGTAGAGACTTTAAGACGGAAAAATGGGACAGACTTGGTTTCAAAACCCATCAATTGAATTTGAAGTTGTGCGCTCAGATCAATTTTGCTGCCCCATAGCTCTGACGATTGCAGTTCAAAATCTCTGTGCGGCGCTCTTGTCACATCTATTTGCGATCACATGCGATTACCAATCATAATCTGAATCTAGACGTATCCCATTCTACTAGGTTCCTGCTCTTTTTGTCCAATAGTCAAGTTTCACCCAAGTTCAACGAATCCATGCTCAGAGTTCCTTTCACCCACAATGTCACAAAGCACAGATTCGATGCGTGATGTCCTAGTTTCTGGACGACTTGTGTCATGCACTGCATTTTGTAGTGACACACCCGTGCACAACCTTTTGTAGAACCTATTGCGCCCCCCTCCAGATAAGCCCCAAAAAGTTCGAAAAACATGCTTTTTATGTAGAGACTCTAAGAAGGAAAAATGGGACAGATTTGGTTCAAAACCAATCGATTGAATTTGAAATTGTGCGCTTAGATCGTTTTTGTTGCCCCATAGCTCTGACGATTGCAGCTCAAAATCTCAGCCAGTTGAATTTGAAGTTGTGCGCTCAGATCGTTTTTGCTGCCCCATAGCTCTGACGATTGCAGTTCAAAACCTCTGCGCCGTGCTTTTGTCACACCTTTTTTGGCCATCACATGCGATTATTAATTAAAATCTAATCTATCCCATTCTACTAGGTTCCTGCCCTTTTTGTCCAATAGTCAAGTTTCACCCAAGTTCA